CTGTGGGTCGTGACACCTTGGTGGTCACCTGATTCATAACAGTAGCAAAATTACAGTTATGAAGTAGTCTTCAATATGGATTACAGCTCAATGTAAAGAAGCCCAAATCCTCAGAATTGCACCAAAAGGTAACAGGAGAAAGATTGACATTGTCAAGTATTTTGTTTTGCTTGACTCCACAATCAATGCCTTCGGAAACGGCGGTCACGTGACCAAAAGATGTATTGCATTAGTAAATACGTTACACAAGACCTCTTTAGGGAATTGAAAAGCAAGGGTATTACTTTTAGGACTAAGGTGATCCTGATCAAAGTTGTGGTATTTTCAATTGCTTCATATAGGTGGGAAAGGTGGACATTGAATAAAGACAATCAGAGAAGAACCGGTGCATTGGATGTGTGGTGCTGCGGAGCATTGGACGTTAAAAGGACCCTGGCTACCAAAAGGACAAACATATCTGTCTGGGAAGAAGTACACCCAGAGGGCTCCGTGCAGGTAAGGAGATCAAGACTTTGTCTTAAACACTTTGGACATGTTGTCGGGAGAGACAAGTCCCTGCAGAAGACTTTATGCTTGTGTGAGAGCCAGTTCACAAATCAATCAGGGACAAAAGGGGCACAGTCACAATTAAAAGGATAGCAGGGACAAAAGAAATGGAAGAAACAAACCTGGGGCAAAAGGGGCCCCAAAAGAAAAGGCTCCAAGGCCCAGTGCTTCATTTGAGGAAGGTTTCTATACAGCTCTTGTCATGTGTCTTGCATTCTGTGAAAAGTTCCCCCACAAAGGGTCTGTTAACAACCAGCTGAAGACAAAGAAAGAAATATTCATATTTTAGCCAAATACTCCATGGCTTGGAAGGGAAGATAAAGCCAGGAATAGGAAGTATGGCTGACCATTTGAAAAAATTGGTGTTTCAGCACTTTCCCAGGGAATGAGAGGGAAATGCCTACTTTATCTTAGGCCAAGGACAAACCATGCTGTCCATCAGCTCCTTGGGCTGAGCTGTCAGCACCTTCCCATGGGGTCCTTGCCTAAACTGTGGAAAATGATGATCCTGCCCTACATGAAGAAGGAAATGAGGTTCAGACTGTCCCGCAAATGTTACTGGGAAGCCCGGGACAACATTCTGCTCCATGTTCTCTGCGTTGAAAGAATTTAGCACCAATATCTCTGACTTCAGGGAATTCCGTATGTATTCCTTTCTCAGAGTTCATCTTAAGACAATCTGCTCCCATGTGCTCACTAGAGGTCATTGAAGGTCATTGAAGGTGCTGACTAGAAGGTCATTGAAAACGCAGAAGGGCTGCAAGAAGATGGATTGACACTATGGGTGTGCTCAAACAGAGGAACAATTCTGAGAATGGGACAGGACTGTCAGGGTTCTGCTGTGCACATAGTCCTATGGGCAGGAACCTACCTGATGGCACCTACCACACCCACAACATCAAAAGGATCAGCAAAGAACGAGGAATAGAAATAAGGAATACAGGGGAGATTTGGATATATGATGTTCCATCGTGGCGATTGCAAGCATTATACAAAGTGTGTATGAATTGTTGATGGAAATGGATTTGCTCTGTAAGCCTTCACCCAATTCACAGTAGAAAGTTAAAATACACACACTGGAAAATGCAAAACCCAGGCCTCTCAGCAGAGTTTTGTTTTCTTATTTTAGATTTATTCGGAAATCAAATACCTAAAGATTAAATGGGTGTTCTTTTCCTTAGCATCTTCTCTACACTAAAACTTTTCATTGTAGAATGAAGTGCCTAGGAGTGTATGGCAGATGAGACACTATTAAAAAACAAAATAAAGTAAGTTCTCATTCTCTATAGAGACTGGTGGGGGAGATGCGGCTAGGAGTTTCATTAAATCGAATAGACTCATTGACCATTAGTTTCAACCTCCTCCCTCAACCAAATCTTTGGTCAAAGCTGCTTTAATGAACTCATTTGACTTTTCCCCTTTGCTATGGCCAGCTCTCCCTCTGAGGCTAATGAATAACCACAAGTCTAGAAGGTAGACAGCAGGAGGGAGGAAATGGATAATCAACAACAGGAAGAGCAGATTCCCCCCACCCCCACTCCTGTTTCATAGACTGGTAACCTAGGGGAAAGGACTGCAAGTCACACAACTTCAGCTATGAGTTTTGCATTTGGTGGAAGACTCTGCCTTCCCATAGTGCTTAGTTGTGGAAAGTTTCTCAGTTCGTGCCGTTCTACAGAAGCCACCTGCCCTTGTGCCTGTAAAGTCCCTGCATATCTCCACAGCCTATCTCAGGCATGATCTGAGATCATTCCACATTCCACAGTTTGTGACCAGGATGCATGGGAAGTCTTGTTTGCGTGAAGTATTTTAACATTCGCCACAGTGCAATGAAAACATGTTTGTAATAAATAGCTTTACTCAAATATTAAATACAAAGAAAAAGATGAAACATCGTCAACATCTAGGACCCCCTCCTCACTCCACACTCAGTCTCTGTCTCCTTCTCAGAGGTAAACACTACCCAGATTTTTGTCATGAATTAGTTTTGCTCCTTTGAAGCTTTCTATAGATTATACACTCTTGGCTGCCTATTTTTCAAAAATCCATGCACTTGCCAACATTTAACGCTAGTTAGGCCATTTTTCACTGCAAAGTAATATGCCAACAACAACAAACACACACATACACACACACACACACACACAGTCATGGAGTGGATCCCCTGTCATAGTGTCCCTATATTGGGCTTCTGAGCCCATAAATGGTTAAGGGAGCATCTGTCTCCCTCTGAATGACATGGGTTTAAACTACTGACTTTGTGGTTAGTGGCCCAATGAGTCTCCCACTGCACCTCTACCAATGTTCCTTCATGTATTTCCTCTTTGTTATGGAAAATGGGGTTTCTGAACATCAGTGAGATATATTTATGTGCAAAGAGGTTCACATTTCTTTGGAGTATTTATTCAGGAGTAGAATTGTTGAGCTTCCAGCACGCTAACACTCAGCTTTAGTAGATACTGCAGTCAGCTTGTACAAAATACTGTGAAGTGGCACTCCCACAGTAGTAGGAAAGAAAGCCAACCGCCTACAATAGACGTTCATCAACACTTGGACTTCTCAGTCCCATTATACTTATTATTTTTGCCATCCTGTTGTGTATGAAGCGGTATGTCAAGGTAGTTTCACTTTGAATTTCTGTGACCACTAATAATGTGGAGTGTATTTCTTATGTTGGCCATTTTGAATATACTTTTGTGAAGAGTGTGTTCAATTTATTGATTTTTATTGTTGTGTCGTCTTCCACTATCTAAAAATATGCAAAGTTTTGTATTTGATTAGTGAGAATACAGAGAGGAGAAATATGGCCCGCTTGAAGGTTTGCATGTTCAACAATTTAATAATATTTTGGGGTTCCTAATTTTAGTATTATCTACTTTTTAATTTTCTTGCTTTATGATTAATACTTGTTCTGAATATTTAAGAAAACATTCCCTATCCCTAAGTACTAAAGGTGTGTTTATTTGATCTGCTAGAAGCTTTAGTGATTTATATCTTTCATTTAAGTTTGGAGTACATTTAAGTACGTTTACATCTTGCATTTAAGTTTGGAGTAGAGTTTGTGTGTGCATAGTTTAGCATGGTGTATGAGATGGTAAGTTTCAATTTTCACATTATAAATAGCCAATTGTTCCAGCACTATTTACTCAAAGGATTATTTTTCTTCATTACTCTGCACTCATAAATCAAATGTCCACGTAAGCAGGTGTGTTTCTGGACCCTATTTACTCTTTATATATCCTTTGTCTATTACCATAACTACTATGTTCTGTAAAAAATACTAATATCTTATTTTCTAAGTCCTCTGGCTGGATACTTTTTTGGTTTCTACTAGCAAGCTTTTTTCCCTTTATATTTTCATACAAATTTGAGAAGGGGCTTGTCAATTACTAAAAATTTAGGGAAGATGGAAAAAAGGAAGCAGAAACATAGACAGTCACTAGGGCAATTGATGTTACATTGTGGGGAATGCAATCAGTGATGGAACAAAATATATATGAATTGTTAAATGGAAAACTAATATGTTCTGTAAACTCTTATCCAATTCACAATAAAAAGCTAAAATATTAATATATCTTGATGATACTGTAATTGAGATAGTGTTTAGTCTCTAAATCAATTTTGAGGAGAATTAGCATTTTAGGAGTAAAGAGTCTTTGAATCAACATATTTAAGTCTCCTTTAATTAAATTGATAGGTTAAAACAAATTTAAAAACAAAACAGCAAGCTCATGCCCATTGAATCAATTGGGACTCATAGCAACCATATAGGACAGGGTAGTACTGCACCCGTAGGTTTCTGACTCTACTTTTTTGGGGAATAGAAAGCCTTGTCATGCTTCCATGGAGTGGCTGGTGGTTTTGAATGAAAAACTTTGAGATTAACAGCCCAGTGCATATTCACTATGCAACCAGGGCTCCAAAGGCTAGGTGGGCACTTGCTTCTTTTAAATGTCATTGTAAAGGCTTTTTAGTACTTTGTGACTCATACAAGGAAACAAATTGGCTTTGTATTCATTCTATTCAGTGATTTTTATTCAGCAAACTTGCAAACTATATTTATTAATCCTATCAGTAGAGTAATAGTTTATCTGTATGATTGTTTGGATTATCTACATAATAGTCAAATCATTTTGAATATTGTTTGTTTTGTTTATTTCTCATAAAATCTTTTACCTTTTATTCTCCTTGAATCATTACACTCGATAAGCAGATTTTAGTACAAAATTAAATTATAATGCTTACCCTGAAACACTTGATTCATTCTTACACTTCAGGGGAATGGATTCTGTATTTCATCATTGACTATGAAGTTTCCTATAGGTTTTTGTAGATACCATCTCTCAAATTAAGGAAGATTCCCTTTTGTTCTTAATTTGTTGTAATTTTATTTTTATAAATGAAGATTGACTTTTAGAAAATGTTTTTACTGTATGTATAGAGAATATCTTATGCTATTTCTTTGTAGGTTTTATTACATACATGAAGAATTTCATTATTTTTTACAAGTTAAGTCACATAGAATACTATCAGAGTCCATTTGTCTGTGTATAGTATCTGTTTTTGAACATTGTTGCATTTTAATTTGTTAATACTTGTTTAAAGACTTTCTAAATTCATATGAGAGAGTGGCCTACAGTTTTCCATGGGGGGAAATGTCATTTTCCATTCGGACATCGATATCGGGATCAGCTGTGGATGCGTTTCTATTGCTGCTCTCTTTGTCACATTTCTTGCCAAGGTGGTATTTGCAATTGAATGCAAGCATTTGCAGACCTGATTGATATCACATTCTTCTAAAACCAATGTCCATAGGCATGTTGGTACTAGAAGACAAAACCAAAAAAAGCATTCTTTCAGATTGGTTTCCCTACATAGTGACCCAGAGTGCAATCGCCCGGAGAAGTTTCCAAGATTGTAATCCTTGTAGAAGCAGACTGCCAGGTCTTTGTCTCCTGGAGCAACTGGGTGGAGCTATTGACCTTTATGCCAGTCACTGGGCCCTTAACCACTGTGCCACTGGGAGCCCTCAGTGGAAAACTAGGTTACATTCATACTATCAGCGTCTCAGCTAATTTACTGACTACTTACAGGTTTTGTAAAGTCTAGTAACTTTTTGTTCTAGCCTATCCTTACTTCTGGAATAGGTCTCCTTTCAGGGTCCAGCTGAAAATCTGGCTCCTCTATTAAGACCTTCCCAACAGAAATCCAATTTTATCTCCCGACAAAATGAACTGCCACAAAGTCTGCAAAGCTTTTCAAGCTCTCGGTAGCAGGCATTTTGCTGACCTTCTCCATCTCCTGGTCTGAATTCTGGGAGAATCAGTGAAGGTCTTGACAGGAAAGTGGCTCACATGTTGAGCTCATGTTTCTATGCTTCTGTTCTCTCCAGGCTCTTGGGCTCATCATTGCTGGCTGCCTTGGGAACTCGGAACACCAGTTGGTGTCCTCATTCCAAAGCCTGTCAAGTCTGCTCCGTACTTTTCCATTTTAGCAGCAGCTGTGAGCTGGCCTTCTCAGCCTTCCTGTCTTCACCTCTGGTGAACTGACTTCAGGGGAGAGGTGACACAGAATGTTCGTCTCATCTTAATGGGCGCGTCCTCTCTCTAGGAGCACACTGCTCAAGTCTTGGTTGTCTTGATAGTTTGTAGAGACTTTTTAAAAGAATGTTTCTAAGTCCATCTGCTCAAGTTGCTCTTAGTGAGAACATTGCTCTCTGCAAGTGGTTCTCTATAGCCCAAGACTTAGCAATTCAGATTTGAAATGACAAAGCCATTGCTGTGCCACTGATCAGTTGCTTTCTTGCCTCTGAACCTTTGCCTCCAGGTTAAAATGCTGCTCTCAGGCTTTCCTGTGTATTGCTAATCAGCCTTTTTTTTTTTTCTGGCTTAAATATCAGGGCTAAGGAGTTGGTCCTACTGGATTCTAGAAATTACTTATCAAATACTCCTCCTCACCATATGACTATAGGGTGGAGCTCAATTTCTTCATAATATCATTGGCATCTTAAAAGTCACCTTCCTACCTGCTGAACCAGGTTCATGGTGCTTACCTCCTCCATCTGAAAGCACAAAAACCTCTCAGGGGGTATCTAAAATCAAAATCAAACAAACAAAACCTCATCTCCATTGAGTAGATTCTGACTTACAGCCACCCTATAGGACAAAGTGGAACTGCCCCTTTGGGTTTCTGGAACTTTTAAATCCTAGCAAGAACCGACATCTTTCCCCAAAAGACTGGTCCGAGCCCACTGCTACTCTTGCGTTCAGCTGTTCAGTGATAGCCCACTACATCACCAATTAAGATATATATGGATGTTATGTGTGTTTGTATATATTTTAGGATGTGTATGTTGGAAATAAACTTTTCACAATGTTAAATCTGTGTATTAATTTACTAGCTTTATTTTTCAGTTTAGGAATGGGGTAGTGGATTTGGAAGTCAGACAAGTATGGTACAAGCAGAAAATCGTTTGTAAAAGACAGACAGGAAACACGGAGGACACATACAGGGCAATTTTCAATTGACTAGTAGCCTTGTTTCCCTTCCTTTTGAGGTCCATAGGGGAACTTTTAAATTAAACTAATTAATCAAGTCCTAATTGACTGTCTTTGATTTCCATTTCCAGAGGACGAATGAATCTGATTGACTCAGATTTGGGTCCCTGGGGAATTTAGGCATTCGTATGAAAAATAAGCTGAGCTTTCCGTTTTGTTCATGTGGGGTCAGCACAAACATCTCCATGTTGGGTCTCGATTGGTAAGGTTGTCAGTTGTGACTTCCAAATTCGTAAAATTAATTTGAAAAATAACAAGTCCCAGAATCCTCAGGAGTCTGTTTGCAACCAGCTCTCTCTTTAGACTCCAACCCCAACTCTGTTACAATAACCAGCTCTACCTGCTTCTAAGAAGAGGCCTCTTCTGTGCCAAGTGAATCCTCAACTCCTGGCAGCATCAGAGGTATAAGCAAAACAGTTCCCCACAGAGGAAAATTGAGATGCAAAGACACACACACACACACACCAACCATGCCCACACACAAACACAAATCACTTTTTGCTCTATAATGCGAATCAATTTTATTTGTAGGTTCCTGGAATCTGAATTTCAAAATCAAATGTCTTTCTCTCACCTCACCTAAATCCTCATTAAAAGTTTATTGCCATCTCCCTGTTCCAACACAAAGGCTCAGCCTAAATATCAAAGGTAAATTCAAGACTCTCCTTTCAGAAAAACATTTTTTTGAGTATTTAAAGCATATGTATACCGACCTTAAACCTTGAAACTGAGATGGGTGGCGTCAGATCTGAATTACAACCCCATTCTGAATTAAACTGAAATCTGCGCTTCTACTCACCTGAAGAAACCGTTTAGAGGTTTGTCAAAGTTCATTTGTGGTAACACAAAAAAGCAAGAGTCAGGTTTCTGATTTGGATGAAGGATTGTTTATTGAAAAAATGTTTACTCAGCTAGGTCTGAAAAGAATGCCTTGCTCAAGCATGCCCTGGGAGGTTAGAAAATAAGATTAGAATGGATAATGTTAAAATGAACCTCGTGACCATCTTGCAGCTGTAACCAAGATGAATTAAACATCAATGAACTTAGTCATAATCAAACTTACTTTGCACCAGCTGCAATCTTCTCCTCCTCCATTTCTGCTAAATCCTTGTTCAAGTGTAACTAGGTAGATACATAAACCGAGTTTCCTGAAGATTTGGGGAGAGGGAGACATGCAGCTGGGGCTCCACTCATTCCAGACAGAATGCCTTGTTATACAAATCTCAGAATGCAGCAATCACGGGAAGTAGCAAATACATTTACTGATGTTAAATGTCTGAGATTATAGAATAACAAAGTACTGTAACTTTTTGCCATAGCTCCCAGCCCATCCGCTTGCCTTTGGTTGTCTCGCCTAATAAAAATTGCTCTCTCTATAATTCAGAACACATTGCAACATCCTGTTTCACGTGTGCTTGTGTTTCTCCTCATTTAGTGAAACATTTTCTCATTTTATAATGTACTTTGTTTTTATTTCTCACCTAATGTAAGTCTGTTGCTTCACTACAACAAACATAACTTTTGCCCTAACAAATCTAAACAGCAATTTGCCACTGTTAACCAATAAAATGTCGGTAAATCTTGGGATCCAACCTAAACCAGGTCATCCATTAGGACACAGATTTCCCAACGGATAGAATGAAATGTGATAATTTTACATAATTCCTGCTTACCAGAGACTCCTTGGGATTCATCTATTACTATGAGCATCCCATTAGGCTAGGCTCTGTGAAGCATCAGATTCTTAGTAAATGCTGAATGTGGCATCATGAAAACTGGCACTTCATGAATGTACTTGGCAAATGAATGACTTCAATCATTCCAGGGATATAAACATTGAGTCCTTTTTTCACAACCTCAACCTCAACCGTTAATCTGTTTCGATAAGCAAAATTGGTTGGTTCAATGTAACACGCTTGAGTTCAAGTCACACAAAGCTGCTTAAGATTACTTAGGGTCAGAAAGGGAAAGGCCGTTCAGCCAGGCTGATAGTTCATGAATGAACTCCATTCCACCAAGCTCTAAAACCAGCGAACCATGCTTGTAGTTATAGCACGTTGAAATGAACTGACAATGAAAAATAATTGCAAGAATATACTTACAAACTTGACTGAAGCGAGAAAGAGACACACAGAGAGAAACATCTACTGGGGCCTTTTGTGTTGACAAGTAAAAAAAATTGGTGGCCTCATTCATACAGATATAGAGAGACACATCTTTATCCTTTATCATGGAATATTTTGATTAGGAGAAAAAGCTGATTTTTAAAAAGTCAGTAATATGAAAAACAAAGTCAGATACTTATAGATTACAAAGTAGAATCATTTTTATTTCCAGAATTCATTTGCCCCAATTTCCTCCAATAGTTATACAACCTCAGTATAATTTATCATTTTAAAGATGCGATTTAATATAATGAGTTCTGGAAAAAAGCTGATAGGAAGCATAAATTGAGTGACCTAATTTTTAGCATCTATAAATGGATTATCAATCTTGCATTCAGTGTTTTCCCTTAAACGTGACAAATTCAATAGGGTCAGATGACCTAACCTTGTACCTTAAGAGTTATCTTAAGTTTTATCTCAAGTGACCTAACAAATGGAAAACTAGCAGGTAACATTTCCATGACCAAAATAGAGGAAGGGACTCTTTTCCTCCACTGATTTCTTTAGAATTCACCTATTGCTTGCAATTTTAAATTCTTAGCTTTCTAAAGTTATGTAAACATTACTTCAGGTAATTCTTCTACTTCCTGTTTTTTGTTAGTTTGTTTTTCTAGAAGGGGATTAGTTAATGGCCCAATCCTATCCCTGAGCCAGAAAAATTAGAAAATGAGCCATTATCTTTAAATATGAGTGTAATGATTGTGCTCCCTTATTTATATAAGATTTCTTTCTGGTTTTTCAATGTGTAGTAGATTTCCTGTCATGCATAATATGCAGGTTTAATGCACAGATAATAATGAAACTTTCTCTTCCATTTTGATTGAGTGATTTTCTGGGATGAGAGTGATTTTACTTTTAGTAGTTTCCCCCCAATACTACACAGTGGGAACAGAATAAGTAACAATGGTTATGAAAAGAAGACGTTAATACTGATGACTTGTTGAGGTGTTCATGATGAATATTATTTGATTGATTCTTTTAAATTAGCTTCTTTCTTCACTAAATATAGCTCAATTCCCTTCTCTGGCTCTAGTTCTCAAGTTCAATAACTCTTCCATTTGGTATCCACTCAACACTGAAATAGGAAGATCAGGGATAGAGGAGGGCTCCATCAAACGCCTACGCTAAACAAAAATGAGCTGGTCTTGCTACAATGAAGAAAGGTTTGAAAGAAATCAGGCACACATTAAACACCTCTGGGGACTTTCCAAAGCTGGAGATGCTCAGACCAAGGTCACCTAGGCCGAGTTGAAGGTCAATCAGGGCACATACACGAGGCACCAGCAACATCACATCACACATGCGCCTAAACTCAGCCACTAAGATGGGCCAATATCGTTAACCACGCACTACCACCACCACCCCTGTCCAAGTGGGGATAGGAGGGGCTAAATAGCACAGACTGAGGGCAGCTTGCTCCCTCTTTCAGGTCCTAGGACGGAATCTCTCCCATGGGCGCGCCCTCGCGGGGCATGCACTCTCTTCCATTTTTGGTTCTGATGCTCCGCTTTTGGGTCTGTGGACTCCACTTGCAGGCCATTTTTCCATGTGGTGTTTCATGCTCCCCTGCAGCTGTCATTTTCAGTTGCAAATATTTCCAGGGTTCCTGCCGGCCATGTGGCCTTGCACCCTTCACGGGATAGCGTGTACTAGTGTACTATCTGAGACTGTATCCCCGCATAAAAGTTACTGGGTTTGCAAATGTGCTTCTGTCGCCGTGTGGATGAATTCTTTCAGCGTTGAGAAGCAAGAATATGGGAAAACCATCCCAGAAACCTAGCAATACTACTTTCGAAACCTCTAATTGTTCCCCAACCTTATTTTATGATTAGAGATAACAGTTTATCCTCCCCAAATGATACATTGCAATCACTGTACCCAAAAGAATTGTTTGATGTTCATTGTTTCAAGAGGTAACATGTGATCAAGAGCCAATTATACTGAGGGAAGAAGTTCGAGCTGCATTGAAGACATCAGCCCAAAACAAGCTTTACAAATTAATAGCATACCAATTGAAGTGCACCCACGAGCTGATAAAACTCTGCAAACATTCATTCACCTATGTCAAGAAATGTAGCCAACAGACTGGAAGAGATTCTTATTTGTCCTTATCACACAAAAAAAGGTGACCTAACAGATTATGAAAAGTATCTAACAAAATCCTGACTATCACATGCAAGTAAAATCTACTGAGACCTACCAGACATTCAAGCTAGATTCAGAAGAGAATGTGAAGTGAGAAATGTTGCTGATGCCAGACAGGTCATGGCTGAAAGTAGAGAATATCAGAAATGTGTTTTCTTGTGCTTTATTAACTATGCAAAGATCTTAACAAATAATAGATGACATTGAATGATAATTCCAGAACACTTCATAATGCTAATGGGAATATGTACATGGACCGAGAAGCAGTTGTTTCAACAGAAAAGGGCATGCTGAGTGGTGGAAAGTAGGAAAGGTGTGTGTCAGTGTTGTATTCTTTTAGAATACTTATTCAATCTGTGTGCTGATAAGATACTCTTATGAGAAACTGGGCTTTATGAAGAAGAACATGGCATCAGAATTCTCACTCTCTGCCACGGAGTCAACTCTGACCCCTACCTACCTATTAGGTCAGCGTTGATCTGTCCCTGTGATTTTCTGAGACTGTTAACTATTTATGAAAGTACAAATTTTCACATTTCTCTCTCAGAGCAGCTGGGAGTTTCAGTTAAAGGAAGACATTAATAACTTGTTATATAAAAATAACAAGGAGACTTTATAGAGTCGTGTGGGTTATGTATTGGACTGTTAACCACAAGGTCAGCCATTTGAAACCACCAGTTCTTCTGTGGGAGAAAGATGAGGCATTCCACTCCCTGAGAAAGTTACAGTCTCAGAAACTCATAGGGGCAGTTCTACTCTGTCCTTAAGGGTCAATATGAGTCAGCACTTGCCCATGGCAGTGAATTTGTAATTGAATCAGATGATACAACCTTGCTTACTGAAAGGGAGGAGGACATGAAGCATTTGATAATAAAAATATAAGACTGTACCCTTCTGTATGGATTGTAATTTTATGTAAAGAAAATTAAAATACAACTAGTATAATAGATAGAATCATGATAAATGGAGAAATGAAGAAGTTGTCAAAGATTTAATTTTGCTTGGTGCCACAATCAATATTCATGAAAACATACGTCAAGACATGAAACAGAAGATTGCATTGGGAAAAATCTATGGTACAAGAGCTCTTAAAAGTTTGAAGATCAAGAATACCACTTTAATAACTAAGCTTTACTTGATCCAAGTCATAGTATTTTATTTTCGTAATAAACAATTTTTATTTGTATACAATTCACTTATCATCTGATTCAATATTTCAATCATATTAAATATAATTGTGTAATCATCACCACAATCAATTTTAGAACATTTTCTTATTTCTTGTACTCCTTGTTATTAGTCCTCCATTTCCCCCTAATGTTCTCTGCAAAATGCCTAGGTAATTATTAATCCAGTGGCTCACTCTATAGAATTACCTATCTTAGATTTCATACACAGAAAAATAATACAAAACAAAATCAACAAGCAAAACACCATCAAATGACAAAATAAAACAGAAAAACCTCAACTGAAACAAAGCTTAAA